GACACATAACTTTATTTTTATCACGCCACTAGTTGCGACCTCTCAGTTTTATAAAATAAGTTATCGTGTTGTGGATATACCGGTATATAAAGAAATCCTAAAACAGTTCACAAATTTTTCCTTTTACAGGCGTTTACATTTAAATATAGAATACTATACCAACTCTAAATGTTTCCTGCAACGCATTCGAGTAAGAGCCACTAGATGCCGCGTCAATGACTATCGATCCCTGGTCCTTAATCGTCTTCATATTTAAGCGTTTTAAGGGTAACACTAAAACATCTTCAACATGTAAGTTTAAGCTAAATATATTTGATTATTTCTATCAGAATATTCTACTTGATATCTGATATTGATCTTCTTCTTCTTCTTGCATCTTCTATGTAGGCATTAAAGCCTGTTTATTCTTCAATACTAGCCTCCTAAATTGTTTAAATTGACGCACTATCTGTTACGTTTGGAATGTCCTACGATTAATTATCGCAAGAGACTCCTGGTTCAAAAAACTACAAAATTAAATTTCTATTACAAAAATTACTTTCGTATTAAAATACACAAATGTGGCTTTAAAAGTTTTATTCAGTTTCCTTCGGTCGGTGGTATAAATTCGACTAAAAACTAACTCTAAACAAATTGAATATATTCTTATACTATATGAAATTCAATACCCTACATTTTCAGACGAAAGTCATTAAAATTTTAAGTGCATTCACCAGCCTTTAGCCGGAGATTCGATATGCTGATTTACAAGGGGATTTTTAAAATAAACATATTACTTAAGTATTAACTCGACACTATCTGTTCCTTTGTCTTATGTCTTTGTCCAATACTTCTTCGTCCATTTGGTGACTTATCTCGTGCTATTCGTACTATCCTATCCTCTGCCATTCTACTAATGTATTCGTTCTACTCCTGTTTCTGTTTTGTCACCCATCCATTTATGTCTTCTATATTACATGTTCTTCTTATTTGTTCGCTTCTCCTTCTATTCAACAGACCTTTCACATGACCCAAGTATGGCATTTTCCTCTCTTTGATTATTGTTAGTAATTCTTTTTGTTTACACATTCGACGAAGTACTTCAACATTAGTACCTCTTTTTACCCATGGTATTCTCAACATCCGCCTGTATATATACATCTTAAAGGCACCTATTCTTTTTTCTCTTTCAGAGTCCATTGTATAACTTTCATAGCCATACAGCAAGACAGAAAAAACGTAACATCTAATCCATTATCTTGTCTTAGGTGTTTGTTATTCCAGATTTTGTTATTAAGAGATGCCGTATATAAAAATAAAAATAAAATAAATAAATAAATAAAATAAAAAATAAAAACGTTTATTGCCTAATAAAATATGACATTTCAAACTTAAAAAATTTTTGCCTTCTTTCTTCCTGATGTCCCGCTTTTGCACCATCTTTTTCCTACTGGGAAAAGTTTGGCATAGGGCAAAGAAACGAAAGAGGAGACCGTTTAATCGAATTTGCTATCACAAACAACTACTCTATCATGAATACTCGATTTAAACACCATGTACGTCGACTTTATACTTGGAAAAGTCCTGGAGATAGATTTAGAATTCAAATAGATTACGTCCTCACCAATATTCGATGGAGGTTGTCCATTCAAACAGTCAGATCATATCCAGGGGCGATATGCGGATCTGATCATACTCTCCTCGTAGCTAAAGTAATGCTTAAACTTAAAGCACCCAACAAACAAAGAGAGATAAAGAGGATAAAACTAAGAAAGAAAGAAGACCTTCTACAGGAAGTACAGAAAAGTATACCCTCTATTCGTAACGGAACATCACAAGAAATATGGGAGACTGTTAAACATTGCGTAACAACACCAGTGGATCGCTCAAAGAAAAATAATCCGGTGAAACGGAAACACTGGATAACAGATGAAACTCTTAAAATAATTGAGAGTAGAAGAAATCTGTGTAAAAGTGGTGTACATAGTGAAAGGGAAAAAGCTAGTTTAAGAAACCTCAATAAAGAAATAAAACGAAGATGTAAGGCCGACAAAAAACAGTACTATCAAAGTATATGCAAATAAATTGAGAGACATGGTCAGAATAATCAGCCGAAAGATCTATTTAGAAAAATACGCTACCTGACAAGAGACTTTAGAGCCAAAACTTGGGCCATTGAAGATAACACTGGAACCCTGAGAACAAACAGAGAAGACATAGCAGACACATGGAGATCGTATTGCAGGAACCTATATAAAGATAATCAACGCCAAGAGCTTGTTAGCCAAATCTCTGACGAGGTGGAAGGAGAACCTGATATACTCGAAAATGAAGTAAGACAGGCTATCAACAAGCTCAAATATAACAAAGCACCAGGTCCAGATATGATATCAGCAGAAATGCTTAAAGCCACAGAAGAAACCGGCGTAAAGTTACTTCATCTACTCTGTAACCAAATATGGCATTCCAAACAATGGCCTGAAGACTGGACAAAATCTACAATAACGACCATACATAAAAAAGGCAGCTTCCATAAATGCGACAATTATAGAACTATCTCTCTTATATCCCATGCCAGCAAGATAATTCTACATATAATCAATGAGAGACTGAAAACATTCCTTCAAAGAGAAATTCCACAAGAGCAAACTGGATTTACCAAAGGTAGAGGCACTCGAGAACACCTGCTGAATATAAGACAGATAATCGAGAAATCTAGGGAATTCAACATCCCACTATACATCTGTTTTATAGATTACCGTAAAGCGTTCGACAGGGTCAAGTGGAGACACTTATGGCGAATACTAAAAGAAGTAGGCGTACCACAACATCTAATTACGCTTATAACCGAACTATATGAACACACTACTGGATCAGTTAAAGTATTTGACACACTTTCGAACGAGCTTCATCCAGAACGGGGTGTCAGACAAGGATGTATACTATCTCCACAATTATTCAACATATATGGGGAGTATATTATGCAAAGAGCACTTGAAGGATGGGAAAAGGGCATCTCAATAAATAGTCATAAACTAAACAACCTACGTTTCGCAGATGACACAGCCCTTCTTGCAAATAGTCAAGCAGAGCTGATAGAACTTATACGACTGATCGAAAACGAAAGTCAAATATTTGGTCTGCAATTAAACATATCAAAGACAGAGATCATGATAGTGGATAGACTACACAACAATCATCCACACATAACCACAATTGACCGGTTCGAGGTTGTGAGCTCATACTTATATCTGGGATCATTAATCACACACACAGGGTCATTACAAGAAGAGATTAAATGTAGATGTGATCTAGCAAAAGTTGCCACAGCAATGACAATATGGAAGGCTGTCAAATTTCAAGAGCGATAAAGATGAGGTTGATCAACTGCTTAATATTTCCAATACTGACCTACGGATGTGAATCTTGGACTCTGAGACAATCGGAGAGAAGAAAGATAGACGCCACTGAAATGTTCTGTTGGAGACGAATGTTACGAATTCCTTGGAACGACCGTAGAACAAATAATTCAATTTTAAGAGAGCTAAAAGTTAGCCAACGACTCTCTAGTAAAGTCCATCTCCAACAATTAAAATATTTTGGGCATGTTATGAGAGCAAACACAGAAAACATGGAAAGACTCATAATACAAGGAAAGGTAGAAGGCCGAAGATCACGAGGAAGATCCCCAACAAGATGGATAGATCAAATTACAGGAATATGCCAAAGACCTATGCATGAATTAAAAGAAATTAATGACCAGAGACAGAGATCTCTGGAGACGAACAATACACGATATCACGTCGACCACTACACTCACCCTGGGGGGTTAGGATTGAAGAGAGAGATTAAACTTTGTTAATGTTAAAAATATTTGGAGCCCACGTTGATAACAACATTATAGTTATCGATGCAGAACCAAACTCCCAATCTTAAGTTTTATTTACTCTGAATCTGAATATCAACAGTAAAATATTATGTCAAACCTATACAAAAAAAAAAAACAATAAAATAGACTTTTATTTTTGGTTTTTTTTGGTTAAAACTGTGGTTAGTTCTTATTAAACATAATATGTAGCATAAAGACTGCTAAAGAGTCGTTAACGATCAAATTTTCAATGATAGTGTCATTTACATGTGTAAAAAAATACTAATTCTACAATAAATATGATAATACTACAAAGATATCCATATAATAAAATAAACATCAGGAAATTTAAGTCCGCTAATTCTAACTTTTTGCTCTTTAATTTATGATGAGAAATCTTTTTTCCCTCTGTTAGATCATCGATTAACTTTTGAATCAATCCAAAATCGTGATACATCATTATAAATTTATTATATCTGTCGGTCAATAGAAATCCTTTTCGGGTAATTATACTCATACTGATGCTGTCAATAAAATTGAAACAGTATATGTGACTTCTATTGATATTTTCAAATTTCAACACATACTCAAACTTAGCACGGTTCACCAACAAACCAGATGTTCCAGATTTAACATGCTGTAAACATTTGGATACATTCTTGCACTCGATATACTTGGAAATCATTTCTTCATAAGATACGTCCTCCATCTTATCATCAACGTACAATTTCATGTTTTTTGCAAAGTATGTAGTTAGATTGTTTTCATATATTTGTTTCATAGAACCATACTTTTGTTTATGTAGAACGACTATGAAGCTACTAATTACATTAGTAGTGAACGTAATGCTTGAGAAAAATGCAAAAATAATCATGACACCAATAAGAAATCTAAGCATAGATGTCTTAGGTAATCGTGATATTCCAACTTGTAGAAAAATAGAAAATGCATCGTAGACAATGTCTCCAAATGATTGACGATATTTTATTACAGTCGATCTTCTCCGATTCACTAGCCAGGTTAACATTACTAATATTATTGAAGTTAAAAGAACTAGTGTCACTATTACGATGTTGGGAGCTATGGTGTATACACGAACGTATTTATTTGGAACACACCATATTAGACTATCTTGGTAGGTTGGAAAACTTACACGAAAATATAACATTTGTTCGTAATATGGAGTGTACCCACCAATTAATACTTCATATCGTTTTTCATAAAGGTCTTTAAATTCATTGATACAACTTCCATTATCGAAACAATCTCCTCGGGTTTGGTGAAATTCTATTGGTTCATACGCTATGCTTACATTTATATATTTTGAGAAGCTATTCAGTAAATTTACTTCAAAACCAGGACGATCCTGATTAAGTCTATTGCTGTTCTTGGACATAATGGTAAACGGAGACCATGGAAAATATTTTGCTCTTATTGCATACTTAATCTTGCCTCTAGATACTGGTAAATCGTTGTATTCAAATTTTCTACCATAAGAAAAAATACCATTTTTACATATATCAGAGAGAGGACTTTTCCCTGTTTCACTTAAGTATGGAGGCATGGCATACACGTTGAATGAAAAATTACCCTGAGGATTTAAAAGCACAATTACCACTTTAAAAATATCTTGTCCATACAGTATATGAAAAATCTCTTCAGCCTTTTCTCTTGTTCTATTACAGCGTTGTAAGGAAACTAATAAGAAAAGGGCTCTTGGAGCCCAACTGTTAATTGTCTTTAATTTTTTAACTGAATTATTAAAACCCGTGGCTATATTTATTTCCATAATTATGTATTTAAAGTGCTCCTTTTTGTTTCTGTCAATCGAGATTTCTTTACTATCAAGTTCTAAGACATATAAAGCACTTTGTTCATATCTGAATAAAGCTTTAGTCAATATGTTCTGAAATGGTAGCGCATGCGTATAGTTTTCAAAAGCCACAATAGTACTTCGATATTCTAAGATAGCAAAGAATCTTTTGAATATTTCAAAAGTACAAGCACTTAAGATCTATATAATTGCAAACCTTCTAATAAATCTAATGTTATATTTGCGTTTACATTAGAAAACGCTATTAAAAAGAATATCGTTAAAAAGAGCATTCTGTCTACGAATAATTGAGAGAATTGATATAGACCTATTATTTTAAAATACCAACAATGCCATAAACAAAAAATCCAATATGTTATAACATTATTTTGCTTTTAACATTTTATTCCTCTAATAAAAAAGAAATTAAGTTTATTATGTATGTACACAAACTACTGAAAGTTTAATTCGAAGAGTTAAGACCAGTGATGGCTGGCGAGAGGGGGCTAAGGGGCACACTGTCTCAAAAACAATGTCATTGTACAACCAATAGTAGATAACTAAGGAGAAATCCCGGACAGATCCTTATTATAGTACTAGAAATCCCGGACACATGTGTAAGGAGAAATCTTGGACGTATCGTATTACGACACATTCTCATCGCAGTGTCCTGGAACTATCAAAGGGTTCTAGGCTAACGTGGTCTGAAACTAGTGTTGCCCAAATGCAAGAACAAGACGAAACGTAGACAGTCTTGGTCTTGGTCTTGCGGCGATACGTCTGGTCTTGGTCTTGGTCTTGGTCTTGCAGCAAGACCAATTAGCCCATTGGTATTTATTAAACGTTATTTTAGATCATAGAACAAAGTAACAGAGTAGATACATTTTAGGCTTGAATTGACACAGCCATAATAAAGACCAACCAAATTAATAAATGTCTAAACAAGTGACACCGGGTGGAGTTTAAACCCACGTTCTAAGCGATCCGTGCCTATGCTCTAACTAACTGAGCTATCTACTATGTCCCACGGGAGTCAATCTGTTTCTTAATAAACGGTTGCATTTAGTAAGCTTATATGTGCTGGGCAGACATCCTAGCCAGTAATAAAGAGAAATACCAAGAGGAATTAGCACGAAAACTAGTAGCAAATACCTTTGAGCACAAGAATATAGATGAACTAGCTGAGAAAATAACTAAAGACATACAAATAGTCACTAAGAAACTTTGTTGGAGAATAAGAAAACAAAAGGAAGCTAAACTAAAACCCGAAACTCTAGAACAGATAGAGAAAAGAAGAAGAACGAACAGAGATAACCCGGACTATAAAGTGCTCAACAGAAGCGTTAAGAAAAATATTCGAAAAGACTCAGAGTTTATAGAACAAACCAGATTCTTGAAAACCATAGTAAACAATAAGAACATAAAAGTGCTAAAAAACATGTAAATCCACTGGCAGGAATAAAATCATAAAGATAAAAGACGACCGTGGAACATTGTGCTCGCATAATGAAGAGATCGTTAGAGAAATCCGAAAATTGCATGAGAAGCTGTATACTTCTACTATTCCGAACCCCGGTATACCAACAAAACATATCTTAAATGTGGGCTCAGAGGACTTCCCTGAAATAATAAACATCAGAAATTAGAGCCGCCCTAAAACAAATGAAAAATGGGAAAACACCAGGACAAGATTAAATTACTTCAGAGATGCTAAAAATGGGAGGCACTGCATTAGAAGAGGCAATAAGAGCATACTTAATAAATGCCTATAAGAAGGACAAATACCGAAGACACGGAAAAATGCGGAAGTCATTCTACTCATAAAAAAGGGGACGCCGCAAATATAGAAAACTACCGACCAATAAGCTTATTGTCACACCTTTACAAACTACTAACCCGAATAATAACAAATAGATTGACAGCTAAACTAGATGCATACCAACCAGTGGAGCAAGCAGGCTTTCGTAAGGGTTTTAGCACTATCGATCACTTGCAAACAATTCGGACCATTATTGAAAAAACAATAGAGTACAACATACCACTACATCTCGCATTTGTCGATTATCACAAAGCATTCGACAGTATCGAGAAATGGGCTTTCTTAACAGCATTGGACGACGCCAGAGTAGATTCAAGATATGCTGCCCTCCTTAAGAATATATAATATGATGCTACTTTTACGTAAAAATAGATGATGATCTGGAAACTATGAAAATAGACCTTGGCAAAGGTGTGAGACAGGGCGACACCATCTCACCCAAGTTATTTACTTTGGCATTAGAAAATGTTTTCAAACAACTAAATTGGGCCGAAAATGAATTAAACAATAGATGAAGAATATCGTAACCATTTGCGTTTTGCAGACGACATAGTACTAATAAGCACAGATATCCATGAACTAAAATCAATGCTACAAGATTTAAATCACAAATCGAATCAAATAGGATTAAAAATGAATCTCGACAAAACAAAGATATTAAGCAACAGCCCAGAAAACATCACTATAGATAACATCAATATAGAAAAGGTAGAACAATATATATATCCAGGACATGCAATTAAAAACGAAAAGGAAAATCAAACCCTAAAAATTAAAAGGACACAATTATCATGGGCTGCTTTTGGTAAGTTGAGCTTCATTTTAAAAGACAGAAAAATCCCAATTCACTTAAAACGAAAAACCTATGACACTTGTATACTACCAGTTGCAACTTATGGATTGGAAACTATGGCAATAACAAGAAAAATGGCAGAACAATTAAAAGTAACTCAACGGGCCATGGAGAGGGCCATGTTAAATATAAGCCTCAGAGACAAAATTCCTAACACCAAAATACGTCGAAGAAATAAAGTAATCGACATCACGGGAAAAATAGCGACATTGAGATGGCAATGGGTAGCACATGTAGCAAGACAAGACACCAACAGATGGTCTCATAAAGTGACATTCTGGAGACCTCGAGAAACAAAAAGAAGCGTGGGAAAACCTAAAAAGAGATGAATAGACGATATAACTGCTGTAGCTGGAAATCAGTGGATGAGAATTGCAAAAGATAGGGAAGCGTGGAAGAAAGTGGAGGAGGCCTATGTCCAACATTGGATAAATGAAGGCTGAAGAAGAAGAAAAAGATATGTGCTAAAACATGACTAAAACACAAAAAACCAAATTAATGACATAAACTTAACTGTATTTTAAGATAAGGTGAAAATATTTAAATGTTTCCACTTGTTTGATTTTCACGTCCACGTCCTAAGAACGCGACTATCAATACAGAAACTATAACAACAAGAAAACAAGAGAAATATGGAACATAGAAGCCCTACAAATACCAAATAAAGAACTGGATTATCAAGTGGCAATAAGCAACACATTTAAATTGCTGGTAGAGTAAGAGCATATTGTAGAGTTAGAACAAGCATGGTAGCAAGTGTCATCAGTTATAGACCAAGCAGCCAAGGAAACCATTAGAAAAAAGAGGAGTCGCCCAAAACGGAAATGGTTTGACAAAGCATGCGAGGAAATTCTGGAAATAAAAACGAAAAAAAAAAATTTAAATGCTATAAAAATGATATAAAAACAATAGAAGCAAGCAAAAATAGAAGCAAGAGGATGAAGTGTGGATTCGACGAAGACTAACCCCGAGTTGTAAAGATAATGAAGAAGAAGAAGAAGATTGGATAGGAAGCACAACTCTTTACATATTAAGTAAAATATACTATATAACCAATAAGTACATTTGCTTAGAAATTTATGTGTTACAATAGACAGAAATATTGACCAATAATTCACTTTAGACCATGGGAATACAAACGTTAGCCAGAGACAATGCAGAGAAAAATGTGCAGTTCCACAGCCACCTTTACTTCCAAGCCATGAAGTAGAAATTTGGCAACAACGTGTGGTAGTCCGACTGTGGTTTGTTTTGGTTTAACATTTCATATAGGAAGGCTTGTAAAGTTTGTTGAATTTATTGTTTTTTTAACTTTATTCGAATGTTTTATTTGTAAATTGTGTTTAAATCAATTAGAAAATATTAATATAAGTGAAATTTCATTAAATTTAGAACTTTTAGAAGATTCTTAACGACAATTTAAAAGGCAAGTATAAATATAACCTACAAAACAAACTGAAAATAATAATACTTTTGCTTCTTGTTACAAAATATGTAAACTAAAAACAACAATATTAATACTTTTGTTTTTTGTTACAGATGCTCTGGCATTGTTGTGTACCTGGTTGCAAAACCAATTATGCCAGTACTTTAAAAACGAAACAGGCAGAAAGTACGTTTCTGTTTCCCAAAGGTCCCCAAAGAAGGTATACTGGGTTATGCTCTATTCATAGAGAAGGCTGTACAATTACTAAATCTTCCGTAGTATGTGCCAAACATTTTCATGAAGATGATATTCAGCGGACTGAACAATGAGAAGATAAAGATGGAAATGTACACATTGAAAAGTTAATATTTCCCAAATTAAAAGGCAATGCAGTTCCTAATATATTTCCTGAAGTACTATCATATGTAACTGTTCATCGTACTAAAGAAAGAAGGAATCCCGAAGACAGAAGAAACTTTTTGCATAAGAAGAGGGAACAAGAGATAACATTATTATGTCAATTAGACTTAGACAATAATATCCCATTGAAAAACTGGACAAGTAAAATTACAAGTGACTGTGTATATTTCTATGTATTAAACATTAATCAGTTGGGACACAAGTGTGATAATATTTGTGTAATATGTAGTGTAATAGTTAGCAGTAATTTTAGTGTAATCGTCAATGTAGGTAAGAATAGATTAAGTGGTAATGATTTGAAATGGATTTTACAATATAGAAAACTAACAAGATGGTCACAATTAGAGAACTTACTTTCTCATTTAGATCTGCTTTTTAGATAAGTGATAGCAAATTTGAGTATTACATTCAAAAATCTTTTGCGAATATAGGCTATTTTAAATCAATATACAAGTTATAAATGGTATGTTACATTCAACACATTTTTCATGTATACCTCTTTTAACTTTGTCTATATGACAACAAACCTATTCATATTTAAAATTGCTACTTTTGTATATCTAAGTATGAAAATTCAACAAAAGTTATAAGTAAATAGTAAATATTTAATTTTCAATTAGATTAATTTTAGAACCATATTTATATTGTGTCTGATTTCTTAGGATGAATTTTTTAATCATAATAGTTACACTTAAGTTTTTTACTTAGCCCCAAATTTTATATCTTTTGTATTTTTAATAATCTTTTTAAATGTCCTGTTAATGTATTATATTATTTATATGCTTAAGTACTTAATATTTAAAATTTCTAGAGATTCTTGACTGCATTTGATTGTAAGATTAACTGTTTGACACTGTTTTTTAAGTGCAATAAATTTTACTCTAGTGATTATTTTATTGATAATATAACCTAAATAATAATAAAACTTTATATATATTTACTAGGTATATGTAAGGTTTTATTAATTTAATTTCCCTAAAAATATTTCTGTAATGAATTGAAGTTTTCAAAATATCAGTTGCCTAAAATTCAAATTAGTTTAATATTCTGGTAGACCTTACAGCTGATTATCGGACTACCGACGTCATAGAATGCGGTGTTGCCTTTTTTACTTCATGGCTTGAAAGTAAAGGTGGCTGTGGCAGTTCACATCACAGAATATGTAGAAACAAGATGGATGAGTGTAGGTAAGAGGAAAATAAAAACAGAAAGGGAAGGCTTAAACAGTACCGGACAAATAAAACGCTTTAGATAGATACATAAATATTTTAATTTACATAGGTTTTTAATTCCAGTATCTTTTACATTTGTAATAAAATAGTTCTGCAATACATACAATAATACTAGAGAGATATCCATAAAATAAAACATAAGTCAGGCTTGCTAGATCTGTTAATTTTAACTTGGCAAATTTTAATTTGTGACGATATTTCTTCTTTCGCTCCATTACATTATTGGTCAGTTTTTGAATTAATCCAAAATCGTTATATAAGTGTATAAATCTATCATACTGTTCTGTCAAAAAAAATCCTTTTCTAGAAATCATACTTATAGTGATGCCTTTAACATAGTTAAAGCAGTATATCTTGCTAGCGTCGATATTCTCGAATTTCACTATGTAATCAAACATCGCACGATCCAAAAATAAACTGGATGTTCCAGATTCAACATATTGAAGACATTGCGATAAATCTTCGCACTCTTTATACTTGGCTTTTACTTCTTCAAGAGGTACGTCTTCTATATTTTTATTTACGAAGAAAGAAGCGAAGTCTTTAACAAAATAAGTGGTGAGATTATTCTCATATATATCTTTCATACAACCATACTTTTGTCTGTGTATAATACCTATAAAGCTGCTAATGACACTACTAGTAAACATAATGTTTGAGAGAAATGCAAAGAGTATCATCAGGCCAATTAGAAATCTAAGCAAAGATTTTTTAGGCACTCGTGGTACTACAACTCCCAAAAAAATGATAAATGCATCGTAGACTATATCTCCAAATGATTCACGGTACTTTATTATAGTGAACTTTTGACGGTTCACCAACCAAGTTAATATTATCAGTAAAAACAAAGTCAAGAGAACTAGTGTAACTATCATGTTGTTCACAGCTACGGTGTAAACAAAGACGGCTTTATTGGGTACACACCATATCAGACTGTCTTGATAGATTGGAAAACTTATACTAAAGTATAACATTCGCTCATAATAGGCAGTGTAGCCCCCAATTAAAACATCGTAGCGGTTTTTGTAAAGATCTTTAAACTCATTAGTAAGAATTCCATTTACATAACAATGTCCTCGACTGTGGTTGAGTTTTGTTGGTGTATAAGTCATTTGAACATTTATATATTTTGCGAAGCTATTTAGCAATTGCACCTCTAAACCGGGACGATCGTGATTAAGGGTGTTGTTAGAGGTAATAGTAAATGGAGCCCTAGGAAAATATATTACTCTTACTGTCCATTTGCTCTTCCTTTTAGGTATATGGCTAAGTTCTTTAGCTTGAAAAAATATACCGTCCCTACAAATAACAGATAGATAAGTTTGTCTTGTTGAAATAAAGTATGGAGACTCAGAATAAATATTAAATGAAGAATTACACTGTGGATTTGGAAGCATAATTACAACTTTTGTAATATCTTCTTTCCACAATATCTTAAAAATCTGATCAGCTTTTTCATTGGTTCTACTAAAAAGTTGGTGGGAAACAATTAAAAACTGTGCTTTTGAAACCCAACTGTAAACCCTCTTCAATTTTTTAATCGCCAGAATAAACTCTTTGTCTGTTTTAATCTCTATAATTATATGTGAAAAAGTTTCTTTTTTGAGTTTTTTATTTTTGTTACTTGAAATATGTTCACCATCAAGATCTATAAGATTAAACGCACTTCCTTGGTATCTGAATAGAGCTTCATCAAAATGTCCTGAAATGGTGACAACTGTGAGTAGTTCTCAAAAGCCACCATAGTACTAAAATATGAAGAATCAACAAAATATCTTCGACAGAGTTGAACAGTACAAGCACTTAAAGACGAATGCATTTGAAAACCGTCTAAGAAATCTAATGTTATATTTGCATTTATATTAACTAACGCAATAAAAAAGTATAACATCAATAAAAACATTCTGTCGATTAAGATTGAAAAAACTATTATAGAAATATTCTATTTAAATACCAACAATTCCATAAGCAAAAATTAAATATGTTGTAACATTAGTTTGCTTTTAACGAATTTTTTTCACAATAAAAAATTATTATCCATTACCCAAGTTATCCATGCACGTACAGAAAATGTTAAGTTCGGCTCTCGAAGTAAAGACGTTGAACAATTTTCTAATCATAAAAAAAGACAATCTTAACGTTAAATGAACACCCTGTACATATCAACAAATTTATTGAGAAAATAAATTTTTTGATTTTATCTACGTACAACTAAATTTAGCATAATAATTTAAATTTTACTACATTGCATACAATGAAAATTGTTGGTCCTTGGCCCAATTTTTTTTTTGTAATGGTCTCTGTTTTGCTAAATATTTTATGATCTATTTCAATTAAAAAAAAAACGTAATTTATGACAAGAGGTAAATATCACAATGGATTTCGAAACATCTTCAAGCAAATCAAATAGTTTATCTGTCTCTAATGATGTTGGAGGTTTGCCGATTAGCTCACAAACAGGGTCAGACATTATCCATTCTTCTTCTCCTTCATGTACCATGTCCTTTCAGAACGTTGTTACCATCATAGCTATCTTAATTTTATTCACTGCCGCCCTAAATAGCATGCTTGTATCAACACCATACCAGTCTCGCAAGTTCTTCAACAACCATTAGGTTCTTCTTCGTCCTGGACTGCGTTTGCGTGCTAGTTTTCCTTGCATGATATTTTGTAGCAACCTACATTTGGGATCTCTTATATGTCCGAAATACTCCAGATTTCACTGCTTGATGATTTTTATAATCTCAGTAGTCTTGTTGAGACGTTTTAGTATTGTGGAGTTTTGAATCTTCTCCACCCAAAAAACTTTTAAAATTCTTCTATAGCACCACATTTTGAAAGCCTTAAGGCGATTTAGATTAATTTTATTCACAGTCCAGGACTCGAGACTAAAAAGTAAGACCAAGAACACGTAGCAGTGGAGTATGTGGATCCTCAATTCCAATTTTAGGTCTCTGTTACATAACACCTTGGACATCCTTCTAAAAACAGCTCTAGTCTGCTTTATCCTAGATCTAATTTCGCCGTGACTTTCTGCGTTACAATTTAATTGCTGTCCAAGGTAAACGATTTTATTAACTTGCTCAAGTTTGGTATTATTTACATATATGGACGGTTTTATATGCTGTTGTTTACTTATTAACGAGTATTTTGGTTTTCCGTATGTTCAGATCCAGACCTGCCTCCCTACAGCTCTCAACGACACTATCAAGTAGTGTTGGCAGATCTTCTTGACCAGTAGGTAGGATTACTGTATCGTCCGCATATCGCAAATTAGTGATGACTTCACCGTTCACAAGTATTCCTTATTGTTTTTCAGAAGTGCTTTTCTGAAAATTCTTTCGTAGTAAACGTTGAAAAGCATAGGTGACAAGAGGCAAACCCTGCCGTACTCCTCTTCTAATATTGAGAGCCTGTGATTCCATACTATCTACTAAAACTGATGTGTTTGATTCCAAATTAAATTTGCAATTATTCGGCAACCTCTGCCGTCCAAGCCAATGTCTTTTAGAGCTTCGATCAATATAGAGTGCTTAACACGATCAATATGCCTTTTTTAAAGTCAATAAAACAACAGTATTATGTCTACAGATATATCTTGACATCTTTGAGCAAGTACGTTCACTGCAAACAGTGCTAAACTGTCTCTCGTTCCAAACCCATTACGGAAACCAAACTAAGTGTCATCCAGGTATTCCTAGCATTTATTGTAGATACAACCATGTATAAGTGGTTTAACAAACGATTGTCCTATAATCAGCACATGTTTTTGCTTTTGTCTTCTTAGGTAGAGCTATAAACAGTGAATTAGACCAACATTAGCTAGTTGTCCGCTGGTATAAATAGTATTGAAAAACGAAGGTATAGCCTCTAAAACATTGCTATTATTTATAAGGTTGTATCTATAATAAGCTATCATATAATATTCATTCAAATTAACAAAATGTAGACAATGTTATTAAATATTTAATTTTTTAGTATAGAGCTGAAAGTGACCCACAAAATAGAAGTAATGATCAAGATGAGCTAATTGACTGATATAACTTACAGTGGAAGCCTGTTGACGGATCATCTTTTAAGAATTTTGACTTTGATGGAAATGATACAGGAGTTAGAGCTCAAATATATAAAGATTATGTATAAGATTAGAGATGAAAGACTTAATCGAACCAAAACACATAGATAACGACACATGGAATGAATACCTAAAGAAGCTTTATAATGATAAATATAATGAACAGCAAATGATGTTAGAACCAGAAACACCAGAAATCATTACAAACGAGGAAGTCGAGATAACCGTACAAGAAGTAAAACAAACTTTAGAAAAACTGAAAAACAGAAATAGCTGCAGGTAAAGATGGAACAGAACAGCTAACAGCACCAATTAACACAATCATCAAACATAATAAAATACCTGAAGAGTGGAAGAAAAGCGAGCTTAACCTACTATACAAAAAAGGAGATAAAAAACAACCTGAAAACTACAGAGGTATCAACTTATTAAACACCACTTTGAAGCTTACAACTAAAATATTGCAAGGCCAAATAAATCATAGAATTACTTTAGCGGATGAACAGCAGGGTTTTCGCACAGGAAGATCGTGCACAGATGCAATATTCATCATAAAACAGATTACCGAGAAAGCACTAGAGTATAACAGACCAGCATTCATATGTCTAATAGACCTAAAGAAAGCGTTCGATAAAGTAAAGCTTAGAGATGTAATTCACCTTCTTTACGATAGAGAAATTCCACTAAATGTTATAAAAACAATAGAGAACATTTACCAGAACAACAATATGGATGTCAGAATAGATGACCAGCTTACAGATCCAATAGATATGGGCAATGGAATAAGTCAAGGAGACTCGCTTAGTCCAACGCTATTCAATCTAATCATGGATGAAATCATCAATACTATTAATAAATAATAATAATACTAAGGCTAATAAAATAGCAGGTTGTCTTAATAACAGGATATGGCGCAATCCCCACATTAATACCGACGTGAAATCAAAAAATCTACAAAGCAACAATAAGACCAATAATGACATACACTTCAGAGACAAGACCGGTTACCTCCAAAACTCAGCAACTACTAGAAACAGCGGAGATGCGTTTACTGGGGAGAATTACAGGAAACACACTGAGTGATCGAATGAGAAGTGAAGAGATCAGAAGAAAATGCAATATACCAGAAATAAATCAGTGGACACTGAACAGAAAAAAAGGAATGGAACGAACACATAAACAGAATGGAAGAGACCCGATTAGTCAGAATAGCGAGTGACAAATCACCAAAAGGTAGAAGAAGTATCGGGCGACCACGCAAAAGATGGAGTGATAACCTCCAATAGAGGCATTAATCGACATTTTGCTTATAAAAAAGAAGAAGAAGAAGAAGATGTATAATTAGGTTATCCCTATAGTTTTTTAAGTTTTTTGTTTGTGACGAAGTGATTACTCTCATGGTCAACGAAACCAATCTCTATGGCGAGCAGTGTTTGGCGAAAGAAACGACTGACACAAAAATCGCGCATGAAAAATGAGCTCTAACTGATCATCTTAAAATGAACAGGTTTATTGGTATCCTATTATGGATGGGCTTCTACTTCATTCGTAGTAGAACTAGCACA